CTACTGTCCTAACCCGAGTCTTAGCCCCATCATACATGTCCTTAATCGCCCTAATGTAGGCAATCTCCAGAGAACTTTNCCAGAGAACTTCTCTAGGAACCTTGTCATACGCTTTCTCCAGATCAATAAACACTATGTGCAGATCCTTCTTCCTCTCCCTATACTGTTCCACCAGTCTCCTAATAAGGTGTATAGCTTCCGTAGTAGAACGACCCGGCATGAACCCAAACTAGTTGTCGGATATAGACACCAACCTCCTCACCTTTGCTTCAACCACCCTCTCCCAAACTTTCATGGTATGGCTCAGTAATTTGATACCCCTATAATTGTTACAACTCTGGATATCACCTTTGTTCTTATACAACGGAACCACCATACTCCACCTCCACTCATCTGGCATCCTCTTCGTCCTAAAAATAACATTAAACAACCCCGTCAGCCACTCCAAGCCTGCTCTACCCACACCCTTCCAAAATTCAACCGGAATTTCGTCCGGCCCGCTCGCTCTGCCCCTGCTCATCTTACGCATAGCTCCTGTGACCTTCTCAACCTTGATGCGCCTGCAATACCCAAAGTCACGGTGGCTCTCGGGATGCTCCAGTTCACCTAGCACAATATCTCGATCCCCTTCTTCATTAAGAAGTTTATGAAAGTAAGTCTGCCATCTCCTCTTAATCTGGGCATCTTCCATCAATACTCTACCATCTTCGTCCTTGATGCATCTCACTTGGTCCAAATCCCGAGCCTTCCTCTCTCTCGTCTTGGCCAGCCGGAATAACTTCTTCTCCCCGCCTTTCTCCCCAGTTCCTCGTACATACGACCATAAGCCGCAGTCTTAGCCTCTGTGACCGCCAACTTAGCTTCCTTCCTAGCTACCTTATACCTCTCCATGCAGGCTCGCGTCTCCTCCTCACTTATGCTCCCTACTAACTTCAGGTACGCCGCCTTCTTCGCTTCCACTTTACCTTGGAACACTTCATTCCACCACCAGTCTCCTTTGTGCCCTCCAGAGACGCTCGCCGAGACCCCTAACACCTCTCTCGCAACCTCCCTTATACAGTCTGCTGTCGTCGATCACATAGTGCCAGCATCCCCACTACTCCTCCAGGCTCCCATAGCCGACAACCGCCCCTCCAACTCCTGGGCTTTGTCTAATGACTGAAATATGAATAATTAAAATTCAAACCTTCATTGAGTACAAACAAATGAGGCCTAAGCATAGTTTTATTACGTTGTGAATTTATAGTCCATGAAAACTTGATTCCTAATATTATGGGGATATTCTTCTTATTTTTATAGCTTTACATGATTGACACATTGATATATCTATCCATATTCTGATAGATGGTCAAATTACCACTTGAAGTCTGACTTTGTCCTTTGCAGTGTTATTATCTTCGAATTACCACTTAATGATTGAGATCTGATGATTAGGATTCAGACCTAAAAAATAAACACACTTAATGGCTAAGATATTAATGATTAAGATTTAGACCTTCATTAGTGTGAACAAATGAGGACTAAGCATAGTTTTATTGCTTTGTGACATGAACAACAATTTTCAGTGTTAACTTTTAGTCTATGAAACTCGATTCCTGATTTTATGGCCAAATCATTCAGCTTTACATGATTGATACTTTGATATTCTGATAGATGCTCAAATTACCACTTGAAGCTTTGTCCTTTGTAGTGTTATTATCTGTCACTGTATTGATTCAAATACTTTTGTTAATGCCTTGAAGTTGTTCAATTGCATGTTGCAGCAATGAGAATGACATCACGGAGAGGCTTAAGCGTATTATTCAAGCAAATGCCAGACTTCTCGAAGACATTTCTGATACCAGTTTTCAAAATAAGAGTCTGGTATTTTTTAGTTCACTTCCTGATCTTTTTTGATCAAAGACTTCCTTCTCATTTTGAAAATCAATGATTCAGTGTTATCAATTATCAGCTTTTTGTAGCTTCCTTTTTTGGTTAATTAGATGGAAATTTTAATATAGACTTTATATTCAATATGTGCTGTATTGCTGTTATGTTATAGTCGAACTCTGCCTACTGGAATGAGAAGTACTAAGCATGTTTTGATTACTATTGCATCTCACCCATCGCCAAAATATTTTACATTTCATATCGACATTTTAGGAGTCCATTTTTCTTATAAGTGATGTTCAGAAACCTAATTTGATTATATCTCCCGTCCCATAATTGTGGGTGGCTATTTGTGTTTGTTTTTTCTTACAACAAGTATAGAGTAGAGTGTTAAGAGGAATCTCAATTGGTCTTACTCCTTATTGAAGTTGTTGAGTTTTATAAAATCCACATTAGATAAATAAGAGCAACCAAATTATAATGATTTTGGGCCACTTTACCATTTGCATGAATGTTTCAGTTGGATGCTTAGGTCTTTAGTGTGGTATCTGAGACACACTTTGTTAATTGTGAAGAACATTTACCTTGAGTCTGATTCAGCCTCAAAAACTAGCTCATTTGGTGAAAATTGTACTAGACCACATGAGAATTTCTGCTTCTGCCCAGCTTTTTTTCACCTTGCCACTTCTGTTAACTCCTTATCAGGTTCTCAGCGTGTTATTTCTAGCATCAGCTTTTGCCGGCTGTAGAAAAGCACCAGTTGATAACTTTATTTCTAAGTTGGAGATGTACTTTAAGATATTTATGATGCAATAGCATGCAAATTACAACTGATGGGAATTCTTTCATATATTATGCACTTTAACACTGGTGGGTTAGTCCTTTGTACTTGCTGGCTTAGCAGATAAAGTTGTCCTCAGGGGTGAATACTAATACCAGGGTTACATTCTCTCCTATCTAAATTAACCTTCTTACTTCCATAATATGAATTAGAGAATTTATCCATATATACCTGTGGAGAGAACTGCAACAATAGATTTTAAACCTATGTTAGGTAAATTATTTATCAAATTCTTTTAGAACTGTTGAAACGGAAAAAGCCTTGCGCTTTTGTTAAATCTTGGTATTCCGCACACTATTGCAAATTACTGTGTCTTCAAGATTAAATGGCTAGGATAGTGTCAGGTAGATCTTTGAATCTAACTACTGTATAAGCGATTCGACTTGGTTTGTCTGGTAGTTTTGTTAGTTCTGCCAAATCCTAGTACTACTTCACCAAATTATCTCCTTTTCGAAAGATGCACCTGTTTCTCTTTATAGTCTTATTGAACACTATGACAGTCACTCGAGAGTCTAGATATCAATCCTGCTAAACTGTGTGTGCCAAGCTTTCTATTCCCTGATGAACACTACAAAATGATCATGCATTTTTTGACATTGGTTTGGCATAGTTACTGAATGTTTAATATGAGCTTTTCCTATTAGAGATATATGTCAGCAAAAGGTGTCTATTTAGACTGCACTCGAGGCGCGTAACAGGCAGGGTTTTTCCAAACGTTAGAGCTGTTTGGAAGTTATGTACCGTGCATGGATAATCGTCAATTTGCTGATGCATTAGGACCAGATGTTTTCTGCCTATTCATGCTACTTTCCTTTTTTTTTAGCTTACTAGATGTTACAACTTTGATATAGAGTGCTTGGGTTGATCTGCAAATGGAAGTTGCACAGTATATAAACAGTGATGTTCGTGGAGTGCCACTACATTTGCAAGCTAGTAAACCAATGAGTGGTTTCACTCAACGCCTTAAAGGAAAGCAGGGACGATTCCGTGGAAATCTCTCAGGGAAGCGTGTGGAATATACTGGCCGAACTGTTATATCTCCTGATCCAAATTTGAAAATTACAGAGGTCTGCCATGGAACTAATGTTTGATCAATATTGGTCGTTTTATTTCACTATGAAGGGAGAATCACAAATACATATGCAGGTTGCCATTCCAATACTGATGGCTCGAATTTTGACATATCCTGAGCGAGTTTCACAGCACAACATAGAGAAGTTGAGGCAATGTGTTCGTAATGGACCAAATAAATATCCTGGTGCAAAGTTTATTAAGCATCCTGATGGAACTGAGATGTATGAACTATTAAATTTTTTAACCCCTTCCTGTAAATCGCATCCATAAATCTTCTAAAGCCTGTCTTAACTGTATAATGCAGATCGTTGATGTTCTCTTCTAGAAAGCGTCATGCTGATGAATTGAAATTTGGTTATATTGTCGATCGACATCTGGAAGATGGAGATATAGTCCTGTTTAACAGACAGCCAAGTCTACATAGGATGTCAATCATGTCTCATCGGGTGACTATTCTTTGATCAAATGATGTGTGAATGGATGTTTTGTTCATGCGGGCAGTGGATTGATTCTGTTTTTAAATTTTAAAATTTTCCTTCAGGCAAGGATAATGCCATGGCGCACATTGAGATTTAATGAATCTGTATGCAATCCTTATAATGCTGATTTTGATGGGGATGAGATGAATATGCATGTGCCACAAACAGAAGAGGCGAGAACAGAGGCTCTTATGTTAATGGGGGTAAGTTTATTCCTTCCGTCCATCTTTCCCTGACATATGTGAAGAATTGAGTAATATGGTAGTGTTTTGAGTTAGCTAGACAAGTGTTTGAATTAATAGTAATGTGAAAAAGAGAAGTCCAGGTGAGAAAAAGGTCGCATCTTAGTGTTTTGAGGGTAAACATTTGATGTGTTGAGAAAAGTGTCAACCTTTTGTGGTTGGACTAAGACAAAAATATGGCCTATACTATCCAAACGATACAAAGTCTGTTTTGACTTTTTTTATTTTGACTAACATTTTCAATTGTATTCATATTTAAGAGAAGTAATTTGCTTGGTATAGTCCTTGCGATAAAAAATTTCTTGGTATAGTCCACGGTTTTATTTTATATACATTATAATGTAGTACAATTTCTGGGAAGAACCAAAAATCTAGATTCAATATGGGATGATGATATGCCGGGTGGTGTTTTTCATTCCATTTATGCAGCTTAGAGTTTACTGCTTCAGGACATCTATTTGACTGATGACCATGGGGTCTCAAAGGCTCCATTTCGTCGATGTAGTTTACTTTTTCCCTTTTCCAAAGCAAGGCAGCTTATCTTTTCCCCTTTCTACTCAATCTTTTTGTGATCAGTACTCTTGTTTCCTGTTGGAGATAAAATATAGATTTGCTTGTTCCATTGTCAATGGTGTTGTCTGTCTGAAAGCTCCATTGGCGTATCAGGATGGTGTCATCTTATATCATGATGACATCCCTAGCTGCTGCTTATTAGCTGAAGTTATTTAATTGGATGTATAGGCATATGTTACAAGATCGAGGGGGAGGGATTTGGTTCTGCTTCTAATTTTCCTTTATTCCAGATTTTTTCTCAAGGCTTTTTATGTGAGGTCAAGGTTTCATTATCTATGCTTTAGTAATCTTACTTTTCGGTTAGAAAGTTTCCTGATAATTGGTAATAAAAAAAATTCCTGAAAATTATAATTTGAAACTTAAAAGGCAGAACTTCAAAACTCTTATCTTTTTCATGATATTTTGTGGCAAAAATGTGGCAGAAATTGTTTCGGTATCCTCTAGCTATGACCAAAACAGGCTATGAAGAAATATCGAACCTGTTCTTTGCTTGTCCCTACATTAGTTTTCTCCTTCAAGTGTTTGTGATGGTAATGCAGGTTCAAAACAATTTATGCACTCCGAAGAGTGGAGAAATTTTGGTTGCTTCTACCCAGGATTTTTTGACGTCTTCCTTTCTCATCACGAGGAAGGACACATTCTATGAGCGTGCTTCCTTTTCACTTATATGCTCATATATGGGCGACGGAATGGATCCTATAGATTTACCAACTCCAGCACTGATTAAGGTTGGTAACTACGAAAGAGTTTGTGAACTTTTACTTCTGTTTGCTGCCTAATTGATGAAGTTTTCATTTTCAAACATTCTTCTTTGATCCTTTTTCTATTCCTCTATGTGTTCCTTTCATGTTTCCAACTTGCTTGATGATTGATCAGACATAAGGTTTCACAAGCCAATGAAGTGTTTTCACAAAACTTTGAAAATTCTAAAGTAGCAATTGCACAGTTCAACATGTGAACTGCAGTGATTATCAAGAATAAATCAAATATGAAATACTTTCCCCGGAAGTGCTTTCACAAGTATTAAGCATATGGATGTGCAATTTGCATTTTTTAAATTTCAGAAGTTGAGTTTTTCTTTCAATTAATTCTTTTTTCCGTTCAGTTAATATCTTTTTATTGTTTTTATGTCAGAATGTTAGTGTTGAAGAAACAATTAAGTAAATAAAGTTTGTTGTCTCTAATAGCTTGAGCTTTTAGATGAGATGGTCACACACTTCAATATGGTATCAAAGTAGTCATAGATCCTGTGTTCGAGTCTCACTGCCATCATTATAGAGAATGAATTTCAACGTGCTTGGCCAATGAAAATATGAATGAAGCCTGCAGAGGGGGCGTGTGAAGAGACAATAAAGTAAATAAAGTGTGCTCTCTCTAATAGCTTAAGCTCTTAGATGAGATGGTGATGTACTTTCAAGGTTTTGCACCTCTCAAGCACAAAGAAGAGATTAAAAACAAAAGCACCCCGCTAAAGTTTTTCACAAAACTAGCGAAAGCGTTCTTCAAACTCACGTTAGAAGAATGTAAGATGAAAAAAAATCTAACCCACACCGCCACACGTTCCTCAATCCCACAAGATTGCAAGAAGCGTTGAATAAGCGAAGAAGAGGAAACAAAAGAGTCAATCACGTTTTTGAAGCTAATGCTCAAAGAAACTATTCACCAATGTTTATTTTCAGCATATTGAGCCCTTTAAATAAGCCTTACAATGGGTATAATTGATGAGGTTAATGAAAACTAATCCTAATTGAACTAGAATAAGAATAAGGTTAAGAAAAATCTATTCTAACTAAAATAGGAAAAGGTATTCTAGTAAGGATGAGATAGTAACTAACAATCCTAGTTTGACTAGAACTATAAATATAATCCTACTAAAATAAGAATTAAATTACTAGGAAACAAGAAATAAGAAATCCTAATCTTTAAGGAAAAGAAATCCTAACCTTGAATGGATTCTTGGCTTCTTGGCCTTCTTCATTTTGCATAAGATGGTCACACACTTCTACAGTTAGAATAGAATACTGGCCGCGCATATACTCTTACATTGGAAGAATGTTTTTAAGCATTGTTTAAAGTCTATAAAAGCATATATGCATAAAAAACTTGTCTCCATGCATTCTTCAATCTCTTCCCTTATTTCTCATCTATTGGCCATGTTTTTAGTTTGTGCGACTACTTTAGTCCCTGGAAGTGTGGACGTCTTTACTTTGGAATGCTGATAGGGAATGCTGGCTTGGTGATCAACAGGTCTTTAACATGTTCTTCTGACGAAAATATATGTTTCCTAAGGGGTTGAAAAAAAATTGACACTCCCAATCTGCTGAGAAGAGAAGGCAATGTAGTGGGTTGTGGAAAGGGTGTGCAAGGACTCGGAAAGTCTGGCAATGAACTTTTTGTTTCCTTTTTTTTTTTGGCTGGTCTTGGGGCTGCCTTACACAGCATAAGCAGACTAACACCTTTTAGCTTTTGAAAGCATGTGTAGTTACTAGTTACCTCTGTGTATTTTTCAGTAAAGATATAACAGTGAGGCTTTTGTAGACTCATTATGGCAACCGCTTTTTAGGAATTTGCTGGTTATGGGGCTTCCTTACCCACACCATCAGCAGATTTCCACTTTTTTGCTTTTGCAAGTATGCGCTGGTGCCTCTTTCCATCTGTCAGTAAAGAAGCGAGTGAGTTCATCATAAAGTAGTACTCTGGAATTAGGTCGTTGTCCTGTGTCTCATGAGGGCTTGTCTGTGTCGGATTTGTGGGTGGAATAGTCCATAGATGGCCATACTTTCTTTTCCCCTAATGCTCTCTCTCTCCCTCAGAGAGGGAGAGATAGATATATATATATATATAGAGAGAGAGAGAGAGATATTATCTTAGCCCAAGTAGTAGATAAGTGTGTAATCGAGAGGAAGAAAAGGAAATTGGGTGGGAGGGGAGGGTATTGGGGATATGGTTCTCGAGAGAGGTGCTTAGAGAAAGGACGGGGGCAGTTGTTTCAACAATTTCTTTCTGTATTTTCTTTATATTGTTTAGCTTATTTTATTCTTTGACAACATAGAGTCAGCGAAGTGGGTAGTTGCCCTAATTAAGGAAACTATTAGTGACATTTGACCTTCTTTTATGTTAATACTGCTAAAATTCAGAAATATCATTTGATTGAAAATTTTGATCTTTGAAGCTTTTGGCGAAAGCAACAAGTCATCTTTCTTCCTAGGTATTTGATTTGGATTGGAATATGCATATTAACACTAACCAAAATCATAGTGCACACCCTTCTTTTTTTTTTTTATTAGTAGCTATGGTTTGGTTGAGTTTTGTTTCCATCTTTTTACGTGCTGAAGCCAGTAGAATTTACTGTTTGTCTTGTCTTTGGATCTTCAAATGACTGAGATGGCTTTTCACAGCCGGTTGAGCTTTGGACTGGGAAACAACTCTTTGGTGTGCTGCTGCGTCCATATTCAAAGATGAGAGTCTATGTAAATCTAACAGTCACAGAAAAGAGTTACAGCGGGAAAGGGGAAACAATGTGCCCAAGTGATGGATTTGTTTATTTCCGTAATAGTGAACTGATCAGCGGGCAACTCGGGAAGGCTACATTAGGTCAGTTTACCTTTAGTGCCCATTTAATCGAAACAGACATGATTTTTATATTATTTGCCATATAATTTGATTTTGTTGATTCCCCTCTTGAGGTACATGTGTAAAAGGCCACCTGCTTATGCACTAATGTTGCTATGGCACAGCCTTAATCTTTTCTCGTACCCTTTGATTGATTACATTGGAAGGGGTTCTCATGTGTATTGTCCTTTTAACTTATGGTCTGTTCTTTTTTTGGATTTCAAGACCGTAATCAATAATGAGTGACAGTAGTTGTTATTTGTGTGAGATGACAACAGGAAATGGAAATAAGGATGGTCTATACTCTGTTCTGTTGAGGGACTACAAGTCACATGCTGCTGCAACATGCATGAATCGGCTTGCAAAATTAAGGTGCGCTAGTTAGATTCAGATCAGCCATTTACTTCTGCATTTTGCTGTCAACTGAAGTTAATTTTTTATGCTGACATTAGAGAAGTGTACTTCATACTTCAACTTTGTAGTTGATATTTAGACTTTTAGATGAAATAAATGATTAGAGGATTTCAATTTCACGGCTAAGATCAATTGTAACACACTTTCTGCCCTTCTTACTTGTGGTTGGATATGAATGTCTAATAAAGGTTCTTGCTGTGATTGATTTTAGCAAGTTTACTGTGTATGTTAAGGATTTGGTGCGTCTAGGCTAGCACTAGGAAGTCAAAGGAACATCAACAACAACAACAAAAAACCCAGTGTAATTCCGTAAGTGGGGTCTGGGGAGGGTAGTATGTACGCATACCTTACGAAGATAGAGAGGCTGTTTCCGGAAGACCCTCGGCTCAAGGAACAGTGAAACTAAAGCAACAAACAATTGCAACAACAAAATAACATGGTAATGGAAGCGAAAAACACAACATATACGAATACGAAACAAGAATAAGAAAATACAACAATAGAACTAGTAAAACAGGCAAGCCTAGGAGCGACTCACGACAAATTTTCAACCTTCCACCCTAATACTCGTCCTCCACACCTTCCTATCGAGGGTCATGTACTCTGTAAGCTGAAACAATGACATGTCCTGCCTAGTCACCTCACCCGGTACTTCTTAGGCCTACCCCTACCCTTCCTCAGACCCGCCATGTTCAACCTCTCAGACCTCCTAACCGGGACAACTATGTCTCGCCTCTTCACATGCCCGAACCATCTCAGCCTTGATTCTCGCAACTTGTCCTCCACAGGGGCCACTCCCACCATGTCCCTAATAACTTCGTTCCTAATCTTGTCTTTCTTAGTATGCCCGCACATTCATCTCAACTTTCTCATTTCAGCTACGTTCATCTTTTGGACATGGGATTTCTTGACGGGCCAACACTCAGCCCCATACAACATAGTCAGCCTAACCACCACTCTGTAGAACTTGCCCAAAGGAACATCAAAGAAAACATACGATTAGAGTAAGGTAGCTCTTAAACAGTGCAGCAGAGATGCATTATGCACAAAAAATTAGTGGCAATTTTTTCAGTTTAGGGTTTTCCGTTCCTTGATAGTAGTCATAAGCTAGCTTCCTTGTGTTTGTTCGTATCATTTTGAATGCTTGAAATATTAATAGGAGTGTAGTTCTTTAGTGCAACTGAATTAATATTGCTAACTTAATGAAGCTTAAGAAATTCTCCAAGGGAAAAATCCCCAACAGAAAAGCTGTAACAAGATTGTTTGCCTTGCAAAATTGAAGCTCTAAATGTTTTATGATATCCAATGTTAGAAGAAATTTGATCTTTCTGAATTTTATGATTAACACTGTCAACACATAGAAGTTAATATATAGCATTTTAAGTTCAAATATTCTTGAATTAAGTTAGTCAAGCACTTTTTTGTCGCAAGTAAGCCTGCCCAAGGATGCTAGGTTGTATCAAAGTTGTATATATACACATTCTGTAACACCAAAATTGTTCTGTTCAAGAGGAATACCTTGTTGCGATTGAATCCTGAAATACCATCATGGTTCGACACAATTATTTCATATAGGTCTTACTCTAATAGTGTTTACAAAATAATTGCAAAGCTGATGGCTGGAAGACTGAAAAAGGTGATTGGGAAGCTGGTATCAGATAATCAGAAATGCCTTTGTAAAAGGCAGGCAAATTGTTGATGCTGCTATGGTAGCAAATGAATGCTTGGAGTATCTATTCAAAAGAAAGATCAAAGGAGTGGCTTGCAAGCTAGATTTGGAAAAGGCTTATGACTATATCTCTTGAAGCAAATGGACTTTGGTGAAAGGTGGATTGGGTGGATACAACAATAACAACAACAACAAACCCAGTATAATCCCACGAGCGGGGTCTGGGGAGGGTATTGTGTACGCAGACCTTACCCCTACCATGAGGGTAGAGAGACTGTTTCCGATAGACCCCCGGCTTAAGGAAAGAAGAAGAAAGTAGTAACAACTAGCAATACCAACAACAAGATAATAAGAAAACAAACACTAACAATAACAAGATAATAAGAGAACAAACAGTATCAACAACAATATAATAAGAAAACATGTAGTAATCAAGACTGTCAATAACCGAATACAAGGCTGACTACTACTACTACTACTACCGGTATGGGAAGACGCACACTCGACTACCTACTAACCTTCTACCCTAATTATCGACCTTCACACCTTCCTATCAAGGGTCATGTCCTCAGTGAGCTGAAGCAACGCCAAGTACCGCCTAAGCCTCGCTTCCCACATCTTGTTCTCACACCTTCCTATCAAGGGTCATGTCCTCAGTGAGCTGAAGCAACGCCAAGTACCGCCTAAGCGTCGCTTCCCACATCTTGTTCTTCATCAAGGCTACTCCTACCCTATCCCGAATATCTTCATTTCTAATTTTTTCAATCCTGGTATGTCCGCACATCCATTTCAACATCCTCATTTCTGCTACTTCCATCTTCTGGACATGAGAGTTCTTGACTGGCCAACACTCTGCTCCGTACAACATGGTAGGTCTGACAACGACTCTGTAAAATTTACTCTTTTGTTTAACATAAAACACCGGATGCGAGTCTCAATTTCATCCACCCTGCTCCAATACGATGAGTAACATCTCAATCTCCCCATTTTCTTTGATAATAGACCCAAGGTACTTGAAACTAACTCTCTTAGGGATGACTTGTGTATCAAGTCTCACGTCCACGTCCGCACCATCAGTTTCATCACTGAACTTGCATTCCAAGTACTCAATCTTGGTCCTACTCAACTTGAAACCTTTATACTCCAAGGTCTGTCTCCAAACCTTCAGTCTCGCGTTAACACCGCCTCGCGTCTCGTCAATCATAACAATATCATCCGCAAATAACATACACCATGGCACCTCCCCTTAAATGTGGTGCGTTAGTGTGTCCAACGCTAAGGCAAATAAGAATGGGCTAAGAGCTGACCCCTGGTGCAACCCCATCATAACTGGAAAGTGGTCTGAATCCCCCCCGCCCGGTCCTCCCTCGTATCTTAGATCCATCATACATGTCCTTAATAACCCTAGTGTAAGCCACCGGAACACTCCTAGCCTCCAAACAACTCCATAGAATCTCCCTCAGAACTTTGTCGTATGCTTTCTTTGGATCAATGAACACCATATGTAAGTCTCTGTTCCTCTCCCTATACTGCTCCACCAACCTCCTTACAAGATGAATGGCTTCCGTAGTCGAACGTCCCGGCATGAATCCGAACTGGTTTTTGGAAATAGACACGCTCTTCCTCACCCTCGCCTCCACCACTCTCTCCCAAATTTTCATAGTGTGACTCTGTAGCTTGATACCCCTGTAGTTGTTACAATTTTGGATATCTTCCTTATTCTTATACACCGGAATCAGCGTACTCCACCTTCATTCCTCAGGCATTTTCTTCGTCCTAAAGATGCTGTTAAACAACCCAGTGAGCCATTCCAAGCCAGCTTTACCCACACTCTTCCAAAATTCTACCGAAATTTCATCTGGCCCAGTCGCTCTTCCTCTGCACATCTTACGCATAGTCCCCCGACCTCCCCCATTTTGATACGCCTACAAAAACCAAAGTCACGACGACTCTCGGAGTGCTCCAAATCATCCAACACAATACTCTTATCCCCCTCTTCATTTAGGAATTTATGGAAGTATGTCTGCCATCTGCGCCTAATATGCGCATCATCCATCAATACTCTGACATCCTCATCTTTGATGTACTTCACCTTATCCAGGTCACGAGCCTTCCTTTCTCTCACGTTGGCTAGCCTGTACAACTTCTTATCTCCACCCTTATCACTAAGTTCTTCGTACAAACGTCCAAATGCTACCGTTTTAGCCGTTGTAACCGCTAACTTCGCCTCTTTCTTGGCCCTCTTGTACCACTCCCTGTTCGTCCTCTTCTCTTCTTCGTCCTTGCTCTCCACCAGTTTCAAGTACGCCGCTTTCTTGGCTTCTACCTTTCCTTGGACCTCTCCATTCCACCACCAATCCCCCTTATGACCTCCAGAGTAACCTTTCGAGACCCCTAGCACCACTCTAGCAGCCTCCTAATGCAGTTCGCTGTCAAAGTCCACATACCACTCGCGTCCCCACTACTCCTCCATGCTCTCATGGATATTCACAGTTAACTTTTCTGTCCTGATTAATGAATGTCCTCAGGGTTACTTCAAGTATTACAGGTGGCCAAGGCAGCGGGATCCTTTGTCTCCTTATCTATTCTTGCTGATGATGGAGATTCTAAGCATCCTGCTTCAAAAAGCAGAAAATTTGGGATGGATCAGAGGGTTGAAGTGTAGAAGAAGTGAGGGAGAAGACTTCCAATCTCACACATACTTTATGCAGATGATACTTTGATTTTGTGTGAAGCTGAGTATTAATGCAGAACATTGCATTGGTGATTTGGCAGACATTATTGGTTGTAAGATGGAGCAGCTCCCTACGGCTTACTTAGGCCTGCCTTTAGGAGCTAAAAAGAATGACCAGAAGATGTGGCAGGGAGTTCTAAGGTGTAGGAGTAAACTTGTTCCATGGAAGAAACGGCACTTGTCATTTGGGGGAAGACTTACACTGGTTAACGGTGTATTGGATGGTATGCCTACTTATTTGATGTCAATAATAAGAATGCCAACAACAGTGGAGAAAAAATTGAGTGCTATGCGAAATAAATTCCTTTGGGAAGGTAATGCTGATAGAAGGAAGCTCCACTTGCTCTTTCAGTGCTTTTTCCATTTTCCTTCCTTCACTTCCAACTCTTGTCCCTGATTTTTTCTTATCTGCATTTTGTCATCTTTGGCTTTTGTTGCCTTGAGGTGTTTCTGGAGCGTAGCTATTCATTGATGACATGTAGATTTAGTATTTAGATCCCTTATCAACCTGATATCGTTTTTCTTTGTTATCATTGTGTCAACCATGTTTCTTTTCCTGATCGAGTCCATGTTCAACTATATTGTCCCTCTCTACCAAGGAAACAGATGATACTAGATATTGAGTGCTGACATTTCCAAGTTTATTTTTTGAACCTAAGCATAAGTTTTCATTGATAACCCAAAAGCCAAGCACTCCGATAATGCTGGTCATTGGTTATCAAAAATATAATGCTGGTCATTAAAAACTGATCTTTCTTACAAAAGCTGCTTTCTTGTGTAAGGAGTCTATGAAATCTATCAATCTATATTCATCATATACTGCACCAGAGGGCTCGCATGCTAGGACATATCAGTTATAAGGTAAGCAAGGCATATCCTTCCTTTTAAAACATCTCCTATTCTTTTCATTCCTTAGTGTCCAATCAATACAAGCTGTTCTTTTGAATCCCCCTTTGTTTTCTTTTACCCTTAGTCCTATCCTGATCTTTCTTCCGTCCCAGCAGCAAAATAACTCTATACCTGATAAAGACATCACGTAGTACACACCAAAAATGCTACGGATAGTTCCCAGAGTTGGGGCCACCACTGGACTATGTGATGCTTTCCAGTTTGTTTACCCAATTTTGTTAAAATTTTATCAGCACCTTTACAAGGGTGGTTCTGGTTCTACATAAGATTGAAACTTCTTTCCGGTTGCCATTTGGTTATAGCAGGTGAATGGGAAATTTTCTTTTTGTGATTTCTTGGCTATTTAAGCTTAAAAAGTCTCTTTCACCAATATTGATGCTGAAATTAGTTATTCTGATTGCAAGTTGTTTTTTTTTTTTCATTCAATATATAGACTTCATTGAAATTAAAACACATCATGTTTCATCACAGCATAAGCTCCTATAAAATGAAACGACATAATCCTACAAGTATTTTTTTCATTAGAATCATAAATAAAGCACGGGTCTTCCACCTTAAAACCCTAGCTTGGTTCTACGCCAGTGCCTGCGCATAGCATTGTACCTGATAGTGTTGTCAGTCCTCATATGGCTCCAGTAAGGAATGGGCCTGTTTTGCCTCTGCTTCTTCGCCAGTTTCTTCTTAATCATATGTCTATGTGACGGCATTTTCACCAGTTAGAGATTCTCAGCGATAAGCTCTGATGCTGCTTGAACATTGAAACCCTCAATTGCAAGTTGGCTATTGTAGCACTAAGTTCATACGCTTTTGGTGTTTTTGAATTTTCAGCAAATTTGCGCCCATTTCAAAGAAGCATGCATTTTCACATCAACCTTTTCGCTTCAGCACCATGGACCTTATCGTTTTGTTGCACTTTTCTTTATTACAAACACTGACCTTATCTCTGTTTGTGTCTTGCTAGTGCTCGGTGGATTGGTAATCATGGATTTTCTATAGGGATTGATGATGTCACACCTGGGGAAATCTTAGTTAAGCAAAAACTAGAAGAGATTCATCAAAATTACAAGAAATGTGAAGACCGTATCCAACAATTTAATGAAGGAAAGCTTGCCGTGCAACCAGGCTGTGATGCTGCCCAGACTCTGGAGGCTGAAGTAACTATGTCGTTGAATAAAGTTCGTGACGACATAGGAAAAGTAAGAACAACTTATCTTTTCATGTGCTGCGTGTTTCCAACTAACAGTCGTCACTTGTGGGGTTCTTATCTATCATAACAGGTTTACTGCTTGTGAGCTCTCTCTTGCTACTAGAACCTTCACGTCTTTGATCTCTTCCTAGCTTCCCTGACAGATAAAAGGAGGGAAAGCATGGACAAGGAGAGCTTAGCCACAATATTTAAAAAAAGGGCAGCCTGATGCACGAAACATCTGTCGTTCACGCAGGGTCCAGGGAAGGGCCGCACCCCGAGGGGTGTAATATAGGAAGCCTACCGTGATGCAAACATCAGTGGCTGATTCCACGGCTCGAACCTGTGACCTATAGGTCACACGCAGACAACTTTACCGTTGCTCCAAGGCTCCCTTTCCTTAGCCACAATGTACAAACATTTAAAACTTCAAGACCGAGTGAAGTGCTAAACTTGTGAAAGTACAATAGTAAGTATAGAAGGCAAAGAGTTACGTTTGGCTGCTGACTGAAGTGCTCATCATGTAAACAGCAGCTCGAATGGATCACCATAAGTCAATCTGATTAAACCATATCTGATGATGTTAAAGTTCAATTCATCAATTAAAGAGTTGTGGCTACCCATATAAAGTATAGGAAAACCCGTGTGCATCAAAGCCTTCAAAATCCAGGGGCCTAATTTAGACATAATCTACAGCCCCTGCAAAATCTACTGTCCTAAGACCTTATGTTTCCATAGTTTTTTTTGGCGCCTCTTCACGGTCTTCTATCAAAATTTTGTCAAATTAGAAAAACCCTTGCCAAATTGCACAAACCATTTTATGATTTAATCAAATTGTGGCCTATTATATGTGGATTTATACATTATATTCATGTTCCTCACTTAAATCCCCAACGGACATCAAAGCTTTTTGCGCTTTTCTCCTTTGCTAACACTGGGTCGAGCAGATAGGGAATTAAAAGTCTACGTTAGTCTGAAAATATGCAGAGTGGTTGTGTTTTCCTTCTCTGAAGCGCATGCCTTCACCTATGAGGCTCTAATCCCCTCGCTTCGCATCGCTTGAGAAGCAATGACTGGTAATAACACGAGTAATAAGATAGATATGCAAAAGAGTTTGTAATGGAACACGGTATTAGCATGCATACTACGAGTATGGGAAAAGATGAACTGTAGATGTCTTGAAAACAAGGCTGTTGCAGTGCATAGACTGAAATGTAAATGTTTATCTCTTTTGGCTTTTTGGACTTGTTACTTGAATTTCCCAGTTCCCTCCTGGAGCAAAATTGATTGGCACCTTTGTCACTTGTATATAAGTGGGCACCCTCTTAGTGCTGTTTTTGTGGAGCTAACCTTTGTGATGTTCTTTTTTTCTTCTTTACTATCACCTGGAGAACAATGTCTCCTTGCATCAAAGAAGAGAGCCCAGTCAGTAATAGTGCCAACTTGTGATGAGAATTTTCTTCCTTAAAGCAAATCGTCGCTTTAAGGTCCCACCAAATCTATGAAAAAAAGAAATTGAGTGGTCATTTGCATCTAACGCCTGCATCAAATAATATTTAGAGTTAGGAGGCATGCTTCTTTGCAGTCTCTTTCTTTCCTCTTGTACCTTTCTCCCAGAGATATAGTTGTTGTGATGTTTAGTTATTAACTCATAATGTCACATTTTGATACGGGATGATGGAGCAAATTTGCCTGAATATGAAATTTTTTACAGATCNCGGTCATGTGGTGCACTATCTTTGGTTCCAGGAATGGGAAAGGGAGGGGATGGTTTACTTCACTTAGGTTAAGTATTGATGATATAAAAATAAGAGAGAGAAGCAGATGCTTCGATGGTTTTGATGATTTGATGATTATAAGACATGCCTATTTATAGGTGTCAAATGGAAGACTATCCACATTTATGCTGTAGCATGTGATGTTTCCACATTAATAATGAAAACTCGATCCCTTGTTCGAAAAAAAACGAAAAAAAAAAAATGGAAGACCATCCAACTTCTTTGTCGTTTCCTGGTAAGACATTCCTTTTCAGATTTTGATCTTTTTTTGTTTTATTCAATCACTTTTTAAGTGATTGGTTAAAAACTGAGATATAATGACGGAGAGATGGGAATAAATTATATGACATCATGGAGAACATTGATTGCTCAGAAGCTTGGTATGACTGGGTTGAGAGAAGGACAAATACTTTATGCTGCATGTCAGTGAGTAGGAAGGTGCTTTTATGGCTGTGTCAACTGCTTTTAAAATGGTTTATTCAGATTCATCAATTGCAGTTATGTTATATTAAGGAAGAAATGCTTAAAGTAATTATTGATGTTACTTATGCACTCAATTGTACAAATTGCTTGTATGTACGCCCGCTGATGCTGATTACAGTTATGTTTTTGGTCCAGGCTAAAGGGTTTGTAGCTCATTCCTTTTTTGACGGTTTGTCAGCAACTGAGTTCTTTTTTCACACAATGGGAGGAAGAGAAGGCCTTGTTGATACGGCAGTATGGATTTCCTCTTTCGACTTATTTGATGGTGTTACTATTTATTTCTCATTCGGACATTAGATATGTTTACCTGAATTCTTCATTTGTCTGCCTTGACATACTTGTATGGAACGGATGTGATATAAGTGCGGATACTTGTAGATTTTCTTGAAATGCACTAAAAATTAACAAAAAGATTGCACAAACTCGCATCGGATGCTTACCTGTATCAGATATGAGAGTGCATGTAACATAGAATATGTCCGGATCCAACAGATTCTTGCTGATGTCTTCCTTTTAAGTGTCAAGGCTAAAGTTTTGCCAGTGTTGGATGTTCATCCATTTCGATCGTCACAGGTTAAAACTGCTGACACCGGATACATGTCTCGTCGACTTATGAAAGCTTTAGAGGACCTTGCTGTTTATTATGACAACACTGTACGAAATGCCAGCGCAAGTATAATTCAGTTCATGTATGGTGATGATGGCATGGATCCTTCACAGATGGAAGAGAAAAAAGGCCGTCCTCTGAACTTTAGCAGATTATTTATGAAAGTTAAGGTATGAGCTTCAATTTTTTAATAGAATTCTCAACAGTTTTATGGCGAAGGTTAGAAAATTTTGATAATAATTTCTATTTACAGGCAACGTGTCCTCCTAGAGGTGAGAAGAGTTTGTCTTACTCGGAAATCTGCGAGATTGTCAATGAAAGGCTCTCATATCATGATATGAGTCCTGAAGGGGGGTGCTCAGAGGCATTCCGGGCTTCATTATCAGATTTTCTGATTAAACATTTAGCTGAAACCTTGAAGAGATTACGGGAAGCCCTCTTATTGGATGGAGAGCAGTATGCAGGGGGTGACCGTGAATATCTTGAAAACATTGCATTAAACATATCTGGTATTACAAAGAAGCAACTACAGGTAAATAGATTTAGAAGTTCCTTTTTGCCGTTCTCGAGGATTTTTGGGTAATTCCTTGCTCCAACTATAAGGGGTTTACTAACAGAACTTTGAGCAACAATTAAGTCACTACCTGATTTTTTCCCTTCATATGGAGTATTGGTTATCCTTTAAGATGTGAAGGTATATTATAAAATTAATGTCATTGAGTATGATGCCAAATAGTTATTCAGATGTAGCTTATTATCTTGTCAGGAGTTCAATATGACATGTTTTCTATTACTGCTAGACTTTAAATTCTTATGGCTACTATATTATTGATAGAAGTTTTCTGACTGGCCAAGTATAAATTAAATAAATAGCAAGAAAAAGCAAGAATTAAATCTTTGTTTCTCCTTAGTGGAAACTTTATATACTTCAATCTAACCATTGTATGTGGCATTATTTGCTTTCCCAAGTGGATTCAATGAACTTTTATTTGCATTTAGCACTAATATAACAAAATATATGGATTCAAAATCTTTTTCAAAAGTTCTCTGTGCCCTTGAATGATAAAAATATGAAGTATGTGAAACAGAATATAACTGTTCTGCTTCACATACTGTAAAGGCGATACAATTTTGACTAGTGTAAAGATTGCATAAAACAAAATGAAACAGAGGAAGTAATTTATTTTCAATCAAAAGTTTCATAAACTAATTTGTCTGAAGTATCTAACAAGCTATCTTGCTTAATTGTGAATGCTAAATTCAAGTTTAACTGGATCACGGGAGTAAGTGTTTGATGATATGTCTCAAATGCTAACCAAGTAGATTTTAGTTCTCTATTTCGGAAATTGTTTCTCTTTTAAATGAAATTGTGTCTTAGTTTCATATTAAAAAAAAGTAAGCCCCGTAACAGGAAAAATCAAAGTTAAAGTCTAATAGGTAAATGAATATGAATTCTTCAAATTTTGAAAGTCATATACAACAGTCTTTTTAGTTGAAGTGTGTCAGATATTTAGGGAAGTCCAAAATTAGAAAGAGTGTCGGCAAATTAGAGCAAAGCGGTTATTGACCTTGATGTGTCACATTTGCTGTAAACTATCTTATGTTGCACTTTTTCTGTCAGTATTTTTAAAATCCTAGCTCCCTCCATGTAAAGTCGAGAATGTTATCCTATATTAACTGTTCTGCTAGCCAAAATCATTTAAATTGGAATCAAGGAATAATTCTATGATATCCCCTGTAGTAGGACTTGGAAATAAAGATATAGCATGTAAAAATTGACATGAATCTGTGCCCGGTATTCCAGGAACGGTTGGGTATCAAATAGGTTATAAGACCTACGAGCTGTACTTCATTGAGTAAATAATTTCAACGGGAAATTTAGGAAAAGAAAGAAAGGAGAAACTAAGAGATAAATCTTTTCTACTTAAAAAGAAAAAGTATCTGTAATTTCCCCAAGCAATAAAGTTACTAATAGCACTGTGTGATGTGTGGGTTTTTATTTTTCCTTGCTTGTTTGTAGGTGTTCCTCAACATGTGCATCTCTCGCTATCACCTGAAAAGACTAGAATCGGGAACTGCAATTGGTGCAATTGGAGCTCAGAGTATTGGGGAACCTGGGACACAGATGACATTGAAAACCTTTCACTTTGCTGGAGTTGCAAGCATGAGTATCCTTGATTATTTGGAGCTTAATTTTGCATCTTCAAGTTGGATTTTTTGGATAGTCTAGATGGGTTTTTATCATATTATCCTGTTTCTTTAACTCTTTGGTAGACGTTACACTTGGAGTTCCTCGAATAAAAGAAATTATAAATGCAGCAAAAAAGATCAATACTCCTATTATTACTGCAAAACTTCTGTCTGCTGCTAATTTAACTGCAGCAAGGATGATAAAAGCCCGCATTGAGAAAACTCTTTTGGGACAGGTAAGTTACTTGTATTTGCTAAATCTTTTTAGACTTAATGCCTCAGTTGACACCTCAACTTATCCCGTTTTGCAAAGCTGGCCCCTAAGTTCCGTTTTTTTCCGTTTAAACACCTGTACTTGGTAAAAACACATTTCAAACGTTTCTGAAAATAGAAATAGCGCGTATCTCTCAATCACTCTTATGTGTTATACATATCGTTTAACTTTTTGACACGTCTCAGACAAAAAAATGACACGTCAAGGCATATTATAATTGGCAACACATTCATCTGGAAACCATTCCTCTCCTTCCCCTTGACTGCCTCTTTATTCGCTAACTCCAACCACCACTCCCTTGACGACCTTATCTCCTTTGTACCTTCTCTACATTCTCATCTCACCCACCATTTATCACTGGCAGCGCCCTCAAGCGGGGAATCCCAACAGCACCAGGCCTCCACCTCTTACTCACCTCCACCCTCATTGCCTTACCACCACTGCCACCACTGAGCATATTGCCTCCACCTAAGTTGCTTGGACTCAGGTGCAGGTGTCCGATACGGGTGCGAATCTAGAGTCGGATCTTTCATGATCTAAATTTTAAGATTCGGTAGTACGGATGTGGATGCGGGAGTTATAAAAATATTTCTAAATTATGAAACATTATGTGGAAAACTTACAAGGTATTCCGAGAAGGAGAAAAATATTGATCAAGAGGAGAATCTAAGAAGGAGATAAAAGGAAAAGGACTAACATAGAAATTTCTATTTACAAGGTATTTCAGTTTCTTCAATTTCATCTTGGCATTTATTTTGGTTTCAAAAATCATTGTATCTGTCCCGAATTTCTCCGTCGATTTTGGTCGAAGTACCCAAAATCAGTTGACCAAATCTGGTACGGATCCCACACCCACACCCATGTCGTGTCGACATGGGTGCGGCACCGAAAGTGAAGAGTCCGAGCAACTTAGGCCTCCACCACTTCCTCTCTTGTATACTCTTCACCTCCACCCCTGTCTACAGTGCTCCTTGTGCACGCCCACCACTGCCCTCCTAGCCATTTTGCTTTCTTTGTTGACCGGCAGGATCCCTGTTTTTCAATCACAAATCCAACCTCCTACAACTCTTAAAGGTCCGGTCTGCTCTTGTTGGCTTCAAAATTCAAGTTGGGTAAGAGTGGTACAGATAGAACTCAAAGGATGGGATTTGGAGTTGGGGATATTGAAAGATCATGAGGCATGAGGAATTTGGTAATTTGATTATTTGACCTTTGGTTTTTAGGCCAATTCTACAGGAAAAAATTAAATTTTGATGGCAGCAGAAAGCATAGCAGTGTTTGGAGAGCTGTAACCAAAGAAAAAGAAAGTAGAGAGAAAGATAACAGGGATGATTTTCTTCTTATTTGCGCTCTCCAAACACATAATTCACATGCTTTTAAGCCACATCATCGAAACCGATGCCACATGAGCATGGTCAATGGTCAAAGGTTTTAAAATATGTCTTTTTACCAAGTATAGGTCTTTAAATGGGGAAAAACGGGAGTCGGGGGCCGTCTTTGCAGACCGGGACAAGTGAGATGTCAATTTAGGTATTAAGCCGTCTTTTTATGATATAATAGTTGCTTAGTTCTTGAACTGCTTACTGTGCTGCTAGAGATGGTTGCTTTTTTTTTTTACTTCATTGTTTGCATCTTCAACTAAATCATTGATAATAACACTACTGAGCCCTAGTTGGATTGCTACACTGCTTCTTTCTCTGAAGCTTTTATCAAATGACTCCTATAATAGCCTTACATTCCAGTACACTGGGCTTCTCAATTGAAAATCTACCGAAAGCAACGCCTGTAAGATCTCAAGTTTTAACTTTGGTATAACTCATGCAACATTTTCAACTTTCTACTTAACTTATGTAGCATTTACTTGTTCTGAAAAATATGAAGTTCATGAAAAGCTACTTAAAATCTGTAAAATATATGCATAATATTAAAAATATTCCTTGCCCTGTTTAGAGCAATATATTTTGATCCCTGCCATTTCTTCTTCCACTCAAACCTCCCTGATTAATTTGTGAAGCTCTCATAATGACATTGAACTAAGTACTTTGTGAGTTGAACATTTATTTCCTATGCAGGTGGCTAAGAGTGTAAAGATTGTGATGGCGTCTCGATTAGCATCAATTGCTATTACGCTAGATATGGAGACAATTCAGGTGTCACAACTGTGTATTGATGCTTATACTGTCAAGCAATCGATTTTGCAGACCCCAAAAATAAAATTGAAAGAACAGGTGAGGAAGGTTGTGTTTCTGGTTCAGCTGCTTATCTGTTAATGATATCTTATTGGGTAAAATTCCTATTTGCTGCAGCAAGTAAAAGTTTTGAACCACAGGAAGCTGGAAGTTTTTCCTCAGGCTAATAAAGATAAGCTGCATTTTGAACTTCACCGGTTGAAAAATAAGCTTCCTGCTGTTGTTGTGAAGGTATGACAATTATCAAGACTTAATTCAAATTTAATCTGTGGGTTTTTGTCCGAACTACTCTGTTCACTTCAACTTGCAAATCTTGTCGGGATTTCAGGGTATTACTACGGTTCAAAGGGCTGTGGTGAACAAAGAACAAGAAAGAGACCGTAAGAGTGATGTCAAAGGAGAAACATATGAGTTGCTTGTTGAAGGGTAAGTTTTATGTACAGCTTCTGCATTCTACATCATTTGGTTGTGCTCTGTTTGGTGTGGCAAGATTGTTATTCACTACAATATTCTGATAACTAGATGTATTCAAGATCTCAGAACTTATTTCTCTTTCCGGAAGAGAGATTCCAAAAGTTATTTCACTTTCCATATTCTGTTTTGTTAAATTAAAGAATAACCTAAGAGAAGGGCTAGTTAGGCTATCGAAAACGATGCACCAATCTAGAGAATTTGAAACCTCCTTCTCAAACAATTGCTTAAAGTGAAGTAGATTAGAACTTGGGTCAATCTTAGTCTTTGTAACCTCCTTTTGGACAGATCCTTTTCAGCCAGGATAGTCTCGGACTGATAATGCCCCCCCTACCAAATTGATTATCTTCAATTATTTATACCTCTAACATTAGATATTCATCTGATTGTATCTAGCAAAATAAATTGGTAAATTTTAATTTTAAAAGTATATTCATTAGCAAACATAGTGTATTTAACTAGTCAATGGCTACAAATACTCATTAAAATCCAGTGAAGTTATTGCAAATTTGTCTGGTATTTTTTTCTTTGGGACTTGCATACACATCTTATGTTTGCTGTGAGAAGGCACGGGAGAAAATATGTTATTGATATTGGATGATAAATACAATACAAGAGGTCCCTATTTATAGCTATACACTACAAAGAGATATTACTCCTCTTCCAATGTGGGACAAGAATACACTATACATATCTATAAACTAACACTCTCCCTCAAGCCGGTGCATACACATCATATGTACCGAGCTTGTTACACATGTAACTAATACGAGAACCAGTAAGAGACTTAGTGAAAATATCTGCTAGTTGATCATTCGACTTTACAAACTTTGTAACAATATCTCCTGAAAGTATTTTTTCTCTGACAAAGTGACAGTCGATCTCAATGTGTTTAGTCCTCTCATGGAACACCGGATTTGACGCAATATGAAGAGCAGCTTGGTTATCACACACTAGTTCCATCTTGCTGATTTCTCCGAACTTTAACTCCTTGAGCAACTGCTTGACCCAAACTAACTCACACGTCGCCATAGCCATGGCCCGATATTCGGCTTCGGCGCTAGATCGAGCAACTACATTCTGTTTCTTGCTCTTCCACGAGACCAAATTACCTCCTACTAGAACACAATATCCAGACGTAGAACGTCTATCAAAAGGTGATCCTGCCCAATCAGCATCTGTGTACCCAACAATCTGCTCGTGGCCTCGATCCTCGAATAGTAATCCTTTGCCTGGAGCTGACTTTATATACCGAAGAATGCGAACAACTGCATCCCAGTGACTATCACAGGGAGAATCCATAAACTGACTTACAACACTCACCGGAAAAGAAATGTCAGGTCTAGTCACTGTGAGGTAATTCAATTTGCCAACCAACCTCCTATATCTCGTAGGGTCTCTAAGAGGCTCCCCCTGTCCAGGCAGAAGCTTAGCATTCGGATCCATAGGAGAGTCAATAGGTCTGCAACCCATCATTCCAGTCTCCTCAAGAATGTCTAAGGCATACTTCCGCTGTGAAATAACAATACCTGAGCTAGACTGAGCGACCTCAATACCTAGAAAATACTTCAATCTGCCCAGATCCTTAGTCTGGAAGTGCTGAAAGAGATGTTCCTTCAGATTAGTAATACCATCCTGATCATTACCAGTAATAACAATATCATCAACATAAACCACTAGATAAATACACAGATTAGGAGCAGAATGCCGATAAAACACAGAGTGATCAGCCTCACTACGAGTCATGCCGAACTCCTGAATAATTGTGCTGAACTTACCAAACCAAGCTCGAGGGGACTGTTTCAAACCATATAGTGACCTGCGCAATCTGCACACACAACCATTAAACTCCCCCTGAGCAACAAAACCAGGTGGTTGCTCCATATAAACTTCTTCCTCAAGATCACCGTGGAGAAAAGCATTCTTAATGTCTAACTGATAAAGAGGCCAATGACGTACAACAGCCATGGACAAAAAGAGACGAACAGATGCTACTTTAGCCACGGGAGAGAAAGTATCACTATAATCAAGCCCAAAAATCTGAGTATATCCTTTTGCAACAAGACGAGCCTTAAGCCGATCAATCTGGCCATCCGGGCCGACTTTGACTGCATAAACCCAACGACAACCAACAGTAGACTTACCTGCAGGAAGAGGAACAAGCTCCCAAGTGTCACTCGCATGTAAAGCAGACATCTCGTCAATCATAACATGTCGCCATCCTGGATGAGATAGTGCCTCACATGTCGTCAATCATAGCATGTCGCCGGAAACACTGTAGCTCGCCGGAAAATTCCAAAGTTGTCGGAATTTGTTGTAACCAGGATGGATAGACTCGGAATTCCTTTGCGAGCAAGCTGACCTGAAGAAATATTTTCAAAAAATGGCCAGAAAAGTCACTGTTCACGCCGGAAAAATATAAAAGTGGCCGGAATTTGATTTGAATTAGATGGTTAGGCTCGGAATTTTGAGGAGAGCACACTGTCCTGAAGAAGTTTCGCGAAAAAATGGCCGGAACCCTCGCCGGAAAAGTTGTTGCCGGCGCGTGGAGGAGCGTGGCGGCTTTTCTGCCGGTTAAAATTTCAGGGGTTGGTAGTCGGAGAGTGATCTACCTCGTGGTGGTGTTGGTTTTAGCACAACACCGACAGAAAGTGACTTTCACTTAGACAAGCCTTAGGTCACCGGAAAAATTACACGATGACTAAGTTCTTTCTCCCCGGTTAACGCTGGAATGACGCACATCGATCTTTTCTCACTAATGCTCTGATACCATGTGAGAAGGCACGGGAGAAAATATGTTATTGATATTGGATAATAAATACAATACAAGAGGTCCCTATTTATAGCTATATACTACAAAGAGATATTACTCTTCTTCCAATGTGGGACAAGACTACACTATACTTATCTATAAACTAACATCAATTAATGATTTTAGACAGTCTCAATATCATAACAGTACACCAAACTAATTTAAAAATTAAATGCAATTACGATCTCAAATATATGAAAAGAAGACAAAAAACTGTAACTGCGGGCTGCATTTTATGTCTATGCAGGCAGCGTAAGGCTGTCGGCTGTTACATGAAAATTACTGTCTCTACCAAGATTCTGGAGGCTCTGATACCATATTGAAGCATATCACCTACCTCATCTAAAAGTTTAAGTTGTTAGAAAGAAGGAACACGGTAAAATATTTATTTATCTATGTAAATTTAGGTTTGTTACATTTTTGAAAATCAAATAAGGAATAACTTTGAAATTATCTTTTCAATTGAAAAAAAGTAATTAATGGAACAATTTTAATCACGAGATCATGATTTGGAGCTTTTCTGGGGCTGGTTTGTTGCAGTTAGATCATTTAAAAAGATTTGAAAGGATTATAAAGTATGTGCAGAAAATCTGTATCTGTTTGTTTGATTGAGAGGTTAACTGGAAGGCTAGCAACTCATCTAATCAAATGATATTTCAAAATAATATTATCTAATATAGTTTCAAGGATCCTGTGAATGAAGTGTAAAAGAGAGTAACAGTCCTACCTTACTGTTTTGGTTCAATTTTCAGCAGCTTGGGTTTTTGGTTTTTTTTTCTGGGACTCCATGATCCAGTTAGTTCTTGCTATAAAATAGAAGTCCTTCCACACGATACCTGATTTGCTCTTTCCTTTCTGCAGTACCGGTCTCCTAGCCGTAATGGGCATTGACGGAGTTGATGGACATAATACAAAGAGTAATCATATAATGGAGGTGCAACAAAGACTAGGCATTGAAGCAGCAAGGATCTCCATAATTGATGAGATTAACTATACCATGTCAAGTCATGGAATGACAATAGACTTGCGGCACATGATGCTTCTAGCAGATCTGATGACATATAAGGTAATTCTCCTGGAAATTTTTTCCTCATCCAAAAACATGTTGGATTCCTTTAATGTCCGATTAACAAGTTTAATGGACGCTTTTTTTTTTCTATCATAGGGTGAAGTTCTGGGAATTACCAGACATGGCGTTCAGAAAATGAAAGATAGCGTACTGATGTTAGCCTCATTTGAGAAGACAACCGACCACCTGTTTAATGCATCTGTAAATGGAAGGGATGATAAGATAGAAGGAGTTAGCGAATGCATCATCATGGGCATACCAATGCAGATAGGCACTGGGATGTTTAAACTTCGGCAATGGTATGTGTCTGATATTTTGGCATGAAATTTTTAATCTTGAACCTTAACGTATCTTATATGTGTGTCGTAATTATTTGAATAAGCTAATCATCAGAAGCTCCAAAGGGAGAAAATTGATTAGTCTACACAACCTTTAAGGTCTTATTGCTAGATCAGAGAAGTAATATTCTGAGGAATGGTTCCTTTTCATATAATAATCTAGTGTTGGCCTATCTTTGCTTCCGACTGATGCAGGACGAGAAGGGAGATGGGATAAATGGGAGAAAATTAGAGAGAAGTGCACGAGTGAGAGAAGAATAAGATAGACCACAGAGATTTCTATCATAGGTTTAAGTCATCTTTTTTGCAAGTTTCTGAAACAAAATAAACAAAGCCTTATTTATAGAGTAGGGGGTCCTAAACAAGATTTTCTATTTTTGTTCCAATTACCTGCAGTTATTGTGGTAGCTCCTAAATCCTAGCTGCATATTAAAGTGACTTTTCTATCTTTGGTGAATCTCTAAAATCCAATGAAATCCAAACGTCTGCATTGGGAGGATAATGCCAGAATAACTTGGCTATTTTGATCCCTCTAATTATCATATTTTATCCTTTATTTCTGCCCTCTTCTCTTGTCATTCCTGTGAATGTCTTTATAGTTTGATGTTCTTCATACATTCCAAGTTAACTAATCCCTTGTTTCCCGGTGTTGTCTTTCCTTTCTCTATGCCAGTGTTCAGCAGGTTGAGCTGAATTATCAATCAGAACCTATGTTATCCTAGGACTTCTAAATGAATTTTTCTGGTTCTGCTAAGGTAATACTTTGTCAATGCCTCAATGGCATTTGGGAGGCGTTGCTGAATTCTCTTTGAAGGATAATGGCAGAGGTAAAAATGAATTTAATATGAGGAGAATATGCACTCTTTTTGTGGCTTGATATTTCGATGCAGCTGCTTGTTTTCTCCCATTGCATATTGTGCATCAAATTTGTTTTTATAGTTCCTAATCTGGAACTATTCTTCAAAATGCTTTAATGGATAGTGTATTCACTTTTCTGCCCTTTTTCCTTCTGCTTATTGTTTTCCATCTATTTTTCATGGGGCACCCGCTCTCGGGTTTGGGGGAGGACGGAAATGGAAAAGCTGGAGCATTGTCATATGTTATTTGGATATTAATTGGGTGCTACCTTTCTCGATTTAACCATCTTACCTTTTATCTTCTTTGGCACTGATTTTACAGGTAGACGACTTGTAATATTTCTTCCTATGGCGTGATATGCAGATGCTAGCATTGACCATGCAACATCAGGTGAATTTTAAAGAAATCGTCGAAGGAGGCAGTCTTACCAACACCTGGAAGATTGGTTTCACCAACCTTATAATGTAGAAAGTTACTCTGGCCCCTGTTGGTAATCATGTTTACGGGTGACATTGTTTTCATCTTTATTCAAGGCAAAAAGTATCGTTGGGATTTCCTCCTCCATCCTGTGGTAACACATCCTTATGTTACTTCATTATGGCTGGTGCAGATTTTGTTAGTATTTTTTATGATTCATTTGTAAAAAGGGTTGGCATATTGATACCTCATATTGGGAATCTTCCCTCAGGGAATTGCAGAATGTCTAGAGGAATAGGAGTAGTGTAGAGTCTGTGAAGTGAGGATATATCAAGTTGCTATGTTGGCTTGAAAATATATATAATATGCACAGAAAATATATTTAAAGATAAATGTGAAACTTCTTACTTGGTGATGTGCTTTTTGCATAAATTTCTAATTTCCTAGTTTACGTTTCGCAAATTAGGAAATTTGAATTATAATATTCAGAAGAGGAATTTGTCCTTTTGGCATAAATTTCCTAGTTTATGTTCATTTAGAGTCAAGATAGAAAGGTAACTTGTGATCAAGGGAATTACACTTTTCTTTTCTGGAGTTCACCATTTCTGGACTTCAAATTTAGGGTAAAACCTCTCACGTGTTTGAAGAGGTCGATGACGTACCTGTCACTTTATTAGATGTGTTCTTCTGGATGTCAATATTTTTTTTAATTTACAATGTTGAAATTACATGAAAGGTGATGTAAATTGATTTTTTGGCGTTCCACAGCATCAATTTTCTTTTCTACAACATTGATATTTGTGTGTGTATGTGTTGCAATGTTTAGTGATGAATTAGTCTTATTTGGCTATTACTTAGCTGATGTTGCAAAGCAGTTAGTTTGTTAGATGGTTCCCGAAATTAGTTAGGAGTTAGTTACAGTGAAGGGGAAAATCCTTGGGCTTAGATTCATCCATATATAGATTGTATTGTGTACATTTGGATTCATTCATGAAAATAATACTTTCTCCTACTCTTGAACACTCTTTCTCTAGCTAATATCTCGGTTGTAGCCCTGACTTAGCTGTACTGTTCTTCGAATTCTTGCAATTCCTAGAGCTATTGTCTTTTGTCTGCACTATGTGCATCAATTGGTATCAGAGCAACACGATTCTCGGCTCTAAATCATGGCTAAAAACAACGAAATCGTGACCAAAAATAGAAGTCAAGACCAACAATTGAAGGAAATGGGAGAAAAACTTGTCCATATTCAAATGCAATTACAGAAGCTTATGGAAGGAATGACTAGCATGAATGAGCGCAATTTAATGGCGGACAAGGAGATGATGGAGAGCGAACTACCATCAATAACCTCAACAGAAAAGGGAATGGAAATGAAACTCGTAGAGTTGAATCTTCATCAGAGGACAGAGATTGTTTGAAGTTGTACCTGAAAGGAGAGCAAGGGATAATCATGGCAATCAAACACCTACTGCTAATTTCTTCACTAGGTATTCGAGGTTAGAATTTCCTAAATTTTCTAGACACGACTTGAAGACTTGGCTGTATAAAGTGGATCAGTTCTTTGCTATGGATGAGGTTCCCTTTGATCAGAGAGTCAAGGTAACTTCAATTCATTTGGAAGGTGAGGCAATTGCTTGGCATAGGTCATATATCAAGGCTAGGAATTCAGTGATCGGTCCTACTCGGACTGAATATGTAATAGCTTTGAATGAGAGGTTTGGGGAAGAATTTGAAGATCACATGGAGTCGCTGAAAAATTTGGTGCAGTCTGGTAGTGTAAGGGAATACCAAGCTGAATTTGATAGGTTGTTAACTGGTGTGAATCTCTCTAATGAGAATACTATTAGCTGCTTCTTGGGTGGTTTGAAACTTGAACTTAACAAAGCAGTAAAAGTACAGGTCCCAAGGACACTAATGCAAGCTTACAAGATTGCAAGGTTACAGGAAGAAGTGTTTGAAGCTCAAGCAAAAACTTGGGGATTAAAACTTGTGTATAAACCAACTCAAAATGGCCTGCTACCCACCCCAAGTCACTATAAATCACAGAGCTTCCAAAAATCAACTATTCCTCAGCCCTCATTCAAGAAACCAGTTGAATCCCGACAGGCTAGGCCTAGTAAAATTTCAGGAAGAAGGTTAACTGCTGCAGAAATGGTTTTTTCTGTGATGAAAAATATGTCCTAGGGCATAAATGTAACTCCAATAGAAAGATTTATATGGTGGAAGATGTTGATGGTGACACAGCTGCAATTGAGGCATTGGAGGATCCATTGCAAGAGGTCATGGAGGAGATAGATGAGCTCATGACCATATCCTTGCAAGCTTTTATTGGTGTGACAGGTTACCAAAACATTAGGGTAACCGGATACCATGATAAGAGACCTCTACAAGTCCTTATGACACATGAAGCACACATAACTTCATTGACCAGGACATGGCCAAGGAGTTAGGATGTCAAGCAAGCAGTATTATGGCTCAATCAGTTAGTGTTGCTGATGGGAGGAAGGTGCAGACAACCTCAGTTTGCAGAAATCTTCAATAGCTTCTACAAGGTACAACATTCAGTTCTGATTTCTTATTACTGCCATTGGGTAATGTAGATATTGTTTTGGGTGTATAATGGCTAAACACCTTAGGTAGGATTCTATTTGACTTCAGGAATAGGACTATTAAGTTCATGTATCAAGGCAAAAAACATGTCTTAAGAGGAACAACTAATCACTTGAAGTCAACTAAGGCAAAAATTGTTAATAAAATTGAAGGAGGGAGTACTCAGTTTTACATGCTGACATTGACAACTGGTGAGGAAGAGGGAAGTTATTGTCATTATATTCAGGCTGCACAGGGTGACCCCATTGCTCCTGAATTATCTGATCTAATTGATCGGTATGCTAGCATCTTTGCCTTGCCTAGTACTCTTCCACCCCACATAGGTGCTTTTGATCATAGGATACCATTGATTGAGGGTGCAAATCCAGTAAACAAGAGACCCTATAGATATCCTGGGTCAAGAAGGATATCATTGAGAAGTTAGTGCAAGAGATGCAGACCAAGGGGTTATACGGCACATCACAAGTCCTTATGCATCACTAGTTGTATTAGTGGGGAAAGAAGATGGAAGCTGGAGGATGTGTATTGATTACACAGAATTGCACCAGCTGACTATTAAGGACAAATTCCCTATACCTATTATAGACGATCTGTTGGATGAATTGGGTGGAGCAGTGGTGTTCTCTAAGATTTATCTTAGAGCAGGTTATCATTAGTTGAGAATGGCCGAGAGTGATACTCATAAAACAACTTTTAAAACTCATGACGGCCACTATGAGTTTTTGGTTATTCCATTTGGACTAACCATTGCCCCTCCTTTCAAAATCTCATGAATTCAGTTTTCAGACCCTTGCTAAGGAAGACAGTATTAGTCTTCTTTGATGTTATATTAATATACAGCTAGTGTATGACTGTGTATGACTGATCATATTGAGAATGTGAAGGCTCTTTTCGAACTGATGCAAAAATTCCAATTGTATGCTAAGATGTCTAAGTGTGCATTTGAAGTTCCTAAGGTAGAGTATTTAGGTCACTTTATCATTCAAGAAGGGGTCTATGCAGATCCTAAGAAGATTATAGCAGTGAAGCAGTGGCCTATTCCCACCAATATCAAGCAGTTAGGAGTTTTTTTGGAGCTTGCTGGATATTATAGAAGATTTATACAAGGTTATGGAGCTATATGCGGACCATTGCATGACTTACTCAAGAAAGATGGTTATGCATGGAACTCTGAGGCTACTGCAGCGTTTGAGAAGTTGAAACAAACTTTGGTTTCTGCTCCTGTGTTGGCAATGCCTGACTTTTCAAAACCTTTCTTGGTTGAGACTGATGCAAGTGGTTAGGGTATAGGAGCTATATTGATGCAACAGGGGCACCCTATAGCCTATATCAGCAAATCATTGGCACCGTCTATGATAGAGAATTACTAGCTCTCATATTTGATGTCACTAAGTGGTCACGCTATTTGTTGGGAAGGCCATTTATTGTCAAGACTGATAAAAAAGCCTTGAAACATCTGTTGGAACAACATATTCATACTGATTGGCTTTTGATTTATCTGGTGAAGTGGACAGGCATTGATGCTTCTCAAGCTACTTGGGAATATCTCTCTGAGCTACATCGTAGATTTCCTATATTACAGTCTTGAGGACAAGACTGTTCTTCTGTTGGGGGCATTGTTGCAATGTTTAGCGATGAATTAGTCTTACTTAGCTGATGTGGCAAAGCAGTTAGTTAAACTGTTAGAAGGTTCCGGAAGTTAGTTAAAGTCAGGAAATTAGTTAGGAGTTAGTTACAGTGAAGGGGAAAATCCTTGAGCTTAGATTCATCCATATATGAATTGTATTGCGTACATTTGGATTCATTCATGAAAATAATACTCTCTCTTCCACACTGACTTAGCTGCACTGTTCTTCGAATTCTTGCAATTCCTAGAACTATTGTCTTTTGTCTGCACTATGTGCATCAGTATGTGCGTGTGTGTGTGAAATGGTAGTCACTACCTTTTTGGCTGAACCTATTGTTGGCAAAATTTTCTCCTTTTCTTGGAATGTAAATAATAGTTTGGCCACCGTCTAAAAACATAAGGCAAATGACCAAGATATTTCACATCGTCAGTTTGTTCGTATGAATATCTCGCCGGCAAGGTTTAACTCTTAAAAAGGAAATCAAGAATTATAGAGTATTATTCCCTAAAGAAAAGTCGGGATGTACCAACATAGAAGGAAAAAAGGCTAGCTTTTTAAAAGAATATTCCTGCACTATCCTATTTCCTGTGATTAGTTTATTCTTTTTAGTCTTTCCCAAAAAAGTACTACTATTACTTAAGTGAATCAGAGAAACTGAGAAAGAAAAGGAAGATGGTAGATATTAAACTTACACGTATTGTATGTTAGACTTCCACTGATACCACTAAGTTGTAGCCTTGATTAAGGAAAAATGATGTAGCCATTCTTACCCTCATATATGTTTATCGATTCTATTCAAATAAAATTTTCTAGACTGAGAAAAAAATGTTCTTCCACTAATTTTCTATACTGAGGTTTTCTAGAGCTTAAAAAACATTTATTTTCTCCTTTGTGGCTCTTCACTTGTCCCTTTTGCCCTAAACCATCTCCCTGTACCTTCTTCTCCATGGGGAAACAAATGAATACAGCTACTTTTTTCCAAACTTTGTTCTTTTTATTTTTTTTAGAAATACAAGGTAAGGTTGCATATATCAGTCTCAATATGGTCCAATCCTTCGCCGGATCACACACATAGCGAGGGCTTAGTATGCCAGGCTGTCCTTTTTAATGGTCTTAAGTACATCCAACTACTTTGGGATGAAGATGTTTGTCTGATTAATTGACTTGTTCTGGTTTAGGGTCCTACAGAAGAGAAAACTAGTAAATATGAGAAACAGATTTGAGTTAATCATGGTCTGGTTTGGGTATAGTCTATTCAAGTGACTGTCATCTTTATATAACTAGATGGTTTTATTTCGAGTACATTAATTTTCTGCTACTCTTCCCCTCTTTAGATAAATCGTCAAACAAGCCAAAACTCCAAATTTACATCAGAAAGAGCTACACAATTGTTGGAAAGAATGGCATTTCATATATACATTGGTGTATAGGAGCACATAGCAATTTAAGATTGATATATTGTACAGTGTCTACTCAATCTGTATAATCACAGAGAGCTAATTGTAACTGAGAGTCAACTGTGTATTGCTTAACGAATGACCTTCTCCACCAAATTTCAAAGGCTCTCTGAATATTGGGACAATCGTCCCCTTTATTAAGAAATCGATCGAACCAGTTAAGTAGTATGGTTTGTTGCTGAGCCAGTGGTAGTGTTAGAATAGTCTGGCCAAGTCCCTCCTCAACTAACTTCTTGTCAATTGATCTACCAGCCCTCTTCATCCACCCGAAATCTTCATATAAACTTTCCAGCCATGTCGATAACAGAGAATATCTAACCTCTTTAGGCACTAATAAATTTCCCCTACCAATTGCAACACAAAGTTGTGCAGTGATCTTGCTGATCTCGTGGCGATACATGGTGGGAATCTTGGAGTGGAGAACAGAGAGTTCTTTTTGTTCTGCCCATAGGTTTACAAACTCATCTCCCATTTTCCTGTCAATTAGGATATCAACTAGCCACTGTAGATTGTCTGCTTCTCGAGCTATCTCACCCATTAGAACCCCTCGATCCTGTCTGTTATCATCCGCAGATGTAGCTTCAGACAAGCAAAGTATTAGAGAAGTGAGGCATCTGTGACAAAAATGATACAGACTATCCCTAGAGATATCAAGGTTACTTTCACGACTGCTACTATTGCTTGCGTTTTCTCTAAGCAAACGAGATATCACTGTTTTCATCTCTTTGCGGGCTTTATCATCCTTGGCATGTAAAACGCCAGTGAGTAATCTCTGGAGAATGTCATCAGAACTTGAAGATGTTGATGGTTCAGCGACCACTCTTTGAAGCACATCAGCTGCTGAATCGGGAAGCTGAAGTTGACTGAGATGAGATACTACTTTTTCCTCTTCTTGTATGGTCCAAGGAACAGCCTCGAGATACTCCAAACAAGCCAGTACTCCATCATCAAACATAATTGCTGAAGATATCTGCGATAAAACATGATAAAGGAAAATTTTAATATAGAAAATAAAAACAAACTCAAAGTCATAAGCATGTTAGTGTAGTTAAAACCTTGCCATACTAATCACTGGAAAAAATGAAGCTTGGTTTAGTACTTTCTATGCATTCCGCTAGTTGCCAGGATATCTATTCGCACATTGCATTAATTTCTTTCACAATGTTTAGCTCTGCATTTTGATTTCATTTACTTAAGGAGCAACAAAAAGCAAAGAATGGAAGAAGATGATTTCCGTAAGATTTACTCTACATCAGGATTAAATTTTCGCTTTTACCACAAGCTGGAAATGTAAAAAGATGGATTTCAGAGGATTCAGTTCGGTTTCACAATTACAACGCCATTCCCCCCTTCTGAAACCTTTCCTTTAGAGCCAAACAAAAGGCTGCTACTCTATATTTGGTTCAACACTTATATCAGCATACTGAATTACAATACCAGTCACTTGCTGGATTACAAGAAGCATCTTTATATTTTAGAATGTAAAAGAAAATATCAACTGCATCAAGTAGTTCTAAACTTTATCAGCTCCCACACATGAAAGTTCATTTTTCTTTCTCTCATTGAACAACACAAAAAGAAAAAGAATCTTGCAACAAGATTCACAGCTCCTTTACCTTCCTAAAAGATAGTAAATAGCTAACCAAACAATGAGTTGAAAAACAGATCAAACCACTGAACATTCACAAACGACCAAAATATAGCAAGATGAAATAATATATATGGCCAGATTTCTAATAAACTTAAAAGCAAATGAATTAAAGGGCATAAGATGTTAAATCCCCCAGCACCCTGTCTTAGTGGTACTTAACACCCTCGCTCGCACTATGACATGAACCACATAGCGCATCATTGTTTTAACAAAACCTACAAGTTTCCCCTACAAAGCCACATTCAGCGCAAGAAATAACTTTTTTGTTATTTTATTGTTTTAGCGCAAGAAAAACTTGCTGAAAAAAGTTAGATTTGAAAACCTGCTTCCAAATGTCATATTTTGTTACTTCTTAAGGAGATTGAGTCTCCTTTTTCACATCTTAAGAATAGTCTTTTATCTTTGATCGCTTTTTGGTGCACTCATTTAGCCCCTACTTGTATAGAAGATTGGGCGTCTTTAGTAGAGAATCATGTTCTGATGTAAATTCTCTACGTCTTTGGTATACTTCGTGTACACGGGAGTTCTCTCCCTTTTGATTAATACAATTTACCTTATAAAAAAAAATATTTTGTTACTTCTTAAGGAGATTGAGTCTCCTTTTTCACATCTTAAGAATAGTCTTTTATCTTTGATCGCTTTTTGGTGCACTCATTTAGCCCCTACTTGTATAGAAGATTGGGCGTCTTTTGTAGAGAATCATGTTCTGATGTAAATTCTCTACGTCTTTGGTATACTTCGTGTACACGGGAGTTCTCTCCCTTTTGATTAATACAATTTACCTTATAAAAAAAAATATTTTGTTACTTCTTCTGAACATGTCATTTTATAGCTAGTCATTGGTCTCTTATATAAATGATTCTCCTAACTTTATTTGTATTCCACTAAATTTCCTACCTCTATGCGATTACTTTTCCTGCTACTGTCTTCTTCATCAATTTAGGCATTCATAAACTTAAAAATATGAACATACTTCCATTTCAAAAAAAAGAATACGACCATACATTTGTAGAGTATAAATTTATCTTAACAAGCCTTTCCTTCGGCAGGTCATAGGTTGGCATGGTACAAAATGCAAATTATAGGCATCCTTACGTTCACGAACTAGCTATATATGCAATATAATACAGGATTATCACACAGTAAATAATGATCGCTAGGCGATGAAAGGCGATACATGTATTGTTATGCAACTATCAAGACGCCATTAGCTTTATAATAATATTGCTAATATCCTTATTCTTACTCCACATTTTATCATGTACAAAATTCTAAGCGTAGATTAAACTTTTCTTAGATAGAAAGCACAATTAGCCCAAAGCATTTCCAATAGGGTAAGAATACACCAACAAACAACAACAACAACAACCCAGTGAAATCCCACAAGTGGGGTCCGGGGAGGGTAGTGTGTAGGCAGACCTTACCCCTACTCCGGCGGAGCAGAGAGGCTATTTCCGATAGACCCTCGGCACAAGAAGATGGAACGAGACAGTATAGCAGTAACAACAAAAGAATAGGGTAAGAAGAAAAATAATACTCTCTCGTCC